CGGTCGTTTGTACAATTTAGGGAGTTTAAGATCCAACGACGCGGACGACAACTAGAACGTCAAAAAAACAATAGGTTTAATTAGCAAAACAACAACTTCGCACGTGCAACACACTTTTTTGTTCATTTCTCTCCCGTTTTTGCACGACTACGACGTGAAAATGCCTAATTTCGCGTTTTATGGAGGACGTAAATAAGCAGCGACGAAATTTTATTTCTCTTTCGAGCTTGAATATGGTCCCTTGAAATTCAGCTTTAGGAGGGTTCGCCTACAATTGACAAAGTAAGTGGGTACGAATAATCGCTATAAAGACTGAAAAAAATAAACATCAAACCAGAAATTGCTCTCTTCAAACTGTATTTTGTAAATGATCCTGAGAGAATATTCAGTGTGTTAAGGATTTCCCTGCTCTACTGTTAGCTCTATACAAGAGAGGAAGGGCGATTCGTTTTTAATTTCGGTTTCGCTGACACAGCTTTCGCAGAAATCTCGCTGTAGTCGTTTTCGTCGACAAAAGGAATAGCAAAATCGCCGTCCGCGTCTTCCCCCATTTTGTTCGCGTCATTTCGTAAAGGACGCGTGGCTCTCAGCGTGGGTCATCCACGCGGAACACATTCACGCTATGTGATTGGTTGTTGTCTAATCCCCCTTGAGATCTGTGGTGTTAAAAATAACTCGAGACGAATTACCTATGAAATAGGGTGTATATGGGGGATGCCCTCTCTGTCCCCTTTATAGTCTCTTGATGATCATTCATCCAGCAAGACGGACGTAGCGGGTGGTAATAATGAAAATAACACAAAATAGCCCGTACAAATATATATATTTATAAATATATCTAGCCGATTTTTTAAAACCAACCTAACGAAGTGTGCAGCCATTTGGGTGAAAAAGCGTCAAAAAGGCAGGTTTCGTAAGCCCGGGAAGCTCCAAAATCACAGTCACGAAGGAAAAGGATCGAAAGGAGAAAAAGAAAGAGCGAGGAGATCGAAAGGAGAAGAGAAAAAATCAATGGTTGCACTCTAAGTTTTATAATGGCTACTTTGGACCGAAAGTCTATGGCTAGTTTTTGGCCGAAAAAACTGTTGGACGCAAAAGATCAATTTGGCAATAACGTTATGAAAAATCCGGCTAGATAGATATATATGTATATGTATACAGGAAAAAATGAGAAAAAAAAATTGATGGAGCAAGGAAGGTTATACCTGCAGTAATGTAAAGGAAACAATACATCTATATGATAAACAGTTCTACTTTGTATGGCAGGATATAAGAGCTCCCAATGAAAAAGACCCTGACTGTCATATGACGGGAACATGAACGAAGCTCCAACTTGTGCAGGGAATTTGGTCTCTCTTTTTCACGCTGTATTCACTTTTGAAAGCCATATAAAGGTGGCTCTATCACTGCTATTAACGTTTGGCTAAAAGCAGGTATTGTTTCCTCTTTTGATAGGGCCAGGTGACTGGAATGGCATTT